ATGCCACCATACTTGGCTAGTTTTTTTGTATTTTTATTAGAGACAGGGTTTTGCCATATTGGCCAGACTGGTCTTGAACTCCTGACCTCAAGTGATCTACCCGCCTCTGCCTCCCAAAGTGCTGAGGTTACAGACATGAGCCACCGCACCTAGAGCCACCGCATGGACTCTTTTATAATATTTACTTTGAGCAAGAACTATAATAAGGGTTGATGAGTTTTTTAGAAAAATTTCTTTTTCCTATCCAGTGTTTTAAATAATTGTTTATTACACTTTTAGACAGGTAGATTCCAAATCTTTTAAAATCACATTGACATGAGATAATTTTTTTCTACTGTCATATGATGGTCCTATAATTCTTCTATCCGTATTCACTTGTGTATTTGTTTTTATTTTAAATAGGGATTAACACCTTGATAAATATTATGTCACGCCTTGGCCAAGATGACCCAACTCCCTCAAGGTAAAGTTGATTTTTAAAAAACAACTTGATTGATATGCAATTCACATACTATACAATTTACTCATTTAAAGCATATAATTCAGGGTTTTTAGTAAGTTCACAAAATTGTGTATCCATGGCCATTATCTAATTTTGCAACATTGACATTACCCCAAAGAGAAACCTGGTACCCATTAGTAATCTCTCCCCATGTTCCTTAGCCTGCCCAGTCCTAGGCAACCACCAATTTATTTTCAACCTCTATGGATTTGTCTCTTCTGAACATTTTATATGAAAGGTGTCATGTAAGTTCTTTGCAATTGTCTTCTTTTACCTAGCATGTTTTCAGGATTTGGCCATAGTATGGTATGTGTCAATACTTCATTGTTTTTATTGCTAAATAATATTCCATGATGTGAGCATACCATATTTTATGTATCTGTCCTTCAGTTAATGGGCATTTAGATTGTTTGTACTTTTTGGCTGGTGAATAATGCTGCTGTGAATATTTATGTACAGATTTTGTTTGGACATATATTTTGATTTCCCTTGGGTGTACACTTAGGAGTAGAATTGCTGGGTCATATGGTAACTCTGTTTAACCTTTTAAGGAACTGCCAGACTGTTTTCCCAAGTGGCTGCACCATCTTATATTCCCAGCAGCAATATAGCAGGGATCCAATGTCTCTACATTTTTGTCAACACTTGTTACTGTCTGTCTTTTTTATTCTAGCCCTTCTATTCTAGTAAATATGAAGTATTATGTCATTGTGGTTTTGATTTGCATTTCCCTCAGAGCTCATGAAATTGAGCATCTTTTCATGTGCTTATTGACTATTTGTTCATCTTCTTCGGAGAAATATCTGTTCAAATCCTTTTCCCATTTTTAATTGGGTTATTCTAAATTATTGAGTTATAATAGTTTTTAAATATATTCTCAGATACAAATTCCTTATCAGATTTGCAAACATTTTTTTCATTCTGTGAGTTGTCTTTTCTCTCTTGATGATGGCCTTTGAAGTACAAAACTTTTGATGAAGTTTTAACTATCCTGAGTTTATTGCATTTCCTCACAAATTTTTGGATTAGCTTGTCAATTTCTGCAAAGAAGTCAGTAGGGATTTTGATAGGCATTATGTTGATTCTGTAGATCAATTTGGAAATCATTACCATCTTTTAAAAAATGTTTATTTAAAGTGTGGTTTGTTACATGGTAAACTTGTGTCATGGAGGTTTGTTGTACAGATTTTTTTATCACCCAGGTATTAAGCCTAATAGCTATTAGTTATTTTTCCTTATCCTCTGCCTCCTTTCGTTCTCCACCCTCCGAAAGGCCCCATTGTGTGTTGTCCTCCTCTATGTGTCCATGTAATCTGTGGCATTTGGTTTTCTGTTCCTGTGTTCGTTTGTTAGGGATAATGACTTCCAGCTCTGTCCATGTTCCTGCAAAGGATATGATCTCATTTGTTTTTATGGCTACATAGTATTCCATGGTGTAGAAGTACCACATTTTTTTTCTTTTTTTTTTGAGACAGTGTCTCATTCTGTTGCCCAGGCTGCAGTACAGTGGCATGATCTTGGCTCACTGCAACCTCTGCCTCCTGGGTTCAAGTGATTCTCACACCTCAGTCACCTGAGTAGCTGGGATTACAGGTGTGCACCAGCGTGCCTGACTAAGTTTTATATTTTTGGTGGAGACGAGGTTTCGCCATGTTGGCCAGGCTGGTCTCCAACTCCTGGCCTCAAGTTATCCATCTGCCTTGAGCTCCCAAAGTGCTGGGATTACAGACCTGAGTCACTGTGCCTGGCCCCAAATTTTCTTTATGCAGTCTATCATTGAAGGGCATTTAGGTTGATGATTACCATCTTAACCTTTTTTTTTCTTTTTCTTTTTCTTTTTTTTTTACATAGAGACAGGGCTCTTGCTATGTTGCCCAGGCTTACCATCTTAATCTTAAGTTTTCTGATTCATGAACTTGGATGTCTTTCCATTTATCTGTCTTTTAAAATTTTTTCAAAATGTTTTATAGTTTTCAGAGTATACATTTTGCACATCTTTTGCAAAATTTATTCTGAAGTATGTTATTCTTTTTTGTGCTGTTATAAATGGAATCTTTTTTTTTTGAGATGGAGTCTCGCTCTGTCGCCCAGCCTGGAGTACAGTGGTACGATCTCGGCTCACTGCAAGCTACACCTCCCAGACTCATGCCATTCTCCTGCCTCAGCCTCCTGAGTAGCTGGGACTACAGGTGCCCGCCCCCATGCCTGGCTTTTTTTTTTGTATTTTTAGTAGAGATGGGGTTTCATCGTGTTAGCCGGGATGGTCTCCATCTCCTGACCTCGTGATCCGCCCGCCTCAGCCTCCCAAAGTGCTGGGATTACAGGTGTGAGCCACTGCGCCCGGCCTGGAATTGATTTCTTAATTTCATTTTCAGGTTGTTCATTGAAAGTGTATGGAAATACAGTTAATTTTGGTGTATTGGTCTTATGACCTCCAACCTTGTTGCTCCTGTTTATTAGGTCTAATAGTTTTTTAGTGGATTCCTTAGGATTTTTTTATACATGAACTAATATTATCTACAAATAGCAATAGTTTTACTTCTTCCTGTGTAATCCTTTTAATTTCATTTTCTTAACTTAGTTGCCCTGTCTAGAGCCTTCAGTACAATACTGAATAGAAGTATTGAGAGCAGATCTTTGTCTTCCTAATCTCAGTAGGAAGCATTCAGTCTTTCACTATTGAGGATGATGTTAGCTGTTGGGTTTTTATAGATGCTTTTTATCAGAGTAAAGAAGGTCTCTTCTATTCTTAGTTGCTAAGTGTTTTTATCATGAAATGGTGTTGAATTTTGTCACATGCTTTTTCGGTAGCTGTTAACATAATCGTGTCATTTTATTCTCTTATTCTAATTGATTTGGGGTGTTAAACCAACCTGGCTTTCCTGGAATGCCTCCCACTTGATTGTGGTGTCTCATTCTTCTCATGTGCTGCTGTATTCAGTTTGGTAGTATTTTGCTTAGGATTTGTGTGTCTATATTCACAAGATACTGGTTTGTAGTTTTCTTTTCCTGTGATGTTTTGTCTAGTTTCATTACAATGGTAATACTAGCCTCATATAACGAGTCAGAAAGTTTTGTACGTTAGCTTTTCTTATTTAATTTCCTGGTTTTATAAGATACCTTCCCATATTGATATTCTCATTTATGTGTGGTCTTGAGGCCTTCGAAGAATCTGGGAATGGAATGGCCTAGGTCTATATAAACTTATTAACACAGTTTGACAACTGAATGGAAGCAAATGCTTAATGGCTGATGAGGTTCTGGGGTTGCTTGCAAGGAGGATTATCTTTGTGTGTGAGGTACAGCAGGTTCTCTTTGGAAAGCCAGTAGAGGAAATTACTTGAGGGTGGCTTTCTTTTTAAGGTGGGGGGTTGGAAAATGGAATAGCTATGCTTATCATTCTGGGGATCTAGACAGATGGATTAAAGGTGGACAGAGTAGGGTTGGAAGTGACAGGAAATTGAGGCAATTACTTCAGCTGCCCACTGGCCTCCACAAAAATTGCCAGCAATGGCTGACATGGCTTCCTTTTCCAATATCTCCTTCATGTGTCAGGTTTTTAAAAAATTGACTTGCCTTGACTTGTTGCCTTTGAGGTTATCATAAACCAAACCTCTTCAATCAAGAGGTAAAAGGAAAAGCAGGATAGAGCTTTAAAATTCTTGTTTGAAAATGATCATCCGCCCATACACCTCACGTGATATTCTGTGAGAGTCTAAGATCAGAAAAGAATGAATTAAAACAGCTCTTAATCACATCCTTGGGGATGGTGTGACCATGGTTTTATTCTTCTCATGTGCTGCTGTATTCAGTTTGGTTATCTCATTCTTCTCATGTGCTGCTGTATTCAGTTTGGTAGTATTTTGCTTAGGATTTGTGTGTCTATATTCACAAGATACTGGTTTGTAGTTTTCTTTTCCTGTGATGTTGTAAAGTCTGTATTTTGATAAGTAGAATCCTAAATACCCATAGCCCTCTAACATGGCTACACAAACACCATAGACATGTACTTTTCAATGATGAAAATCTGGCTTTAAATCGTCTTTGTCTCATCTTCCCCTCCCGCAGTTGTTGGTATGTAAATTATGTCTTTTGGTAACATCATTCGAACCCCATGATTTATGTTTTCTTTTGCTCTGTTACAAACAGGTGGCTTTCTTACCATGGCAGAAGGGATGACACCTGAGAAACTGTGTGATGTTTGAATTTACCATTTTGAAAATGATATTGACAGAGAATAAACAAATAATCTCTCTTGTCCTTTGACATTTGGCCTTTGCTGCTTGTGTTGAGAGGCTCTTGCCCTGAATATGATTTTTTTGCTGATGCAGAGTTGACCCCAAGTGTCTGTTCAGAGAGAGCCTCTTGGCGTTGGCTGCCAGGATCTGCTGCTCGTTGACTGCTATCAGCTAGCAGTCCACAGCTGGGCACAGCTTCTCACAGATTGACCCAAGTAAGACAGAGCTGCTTACCTGGGTTGTCAAGCATACCCTGTCCCTTCCCTGTGTGCTGATCGTCATTGTAAAACTTCCTCTGTAATGCCCATGTAACCTTGTAATATCCGGCTCAAATCCTGCTGGTATTTATTTTATGGTACATATTCTTGTTCTTCTGTGCACCCATAATTGTGTTATGGGGCTATTTTTCTTTACTGGACTATAAGGATTTTGAAGTTCTATGGTCCTACCCATGTTTTTTCTCTCCGTTCTTTGTAACTAGGACCTTTCACAGAACAAGTACTCAGTAAATAAGTATTAAAGGAAGTAATGCCATTCATCATACTACTTTATCCCAGGCTATTTACTTATTGACTAGAAATAGGGCAATGGGGGGGATCAAGAAGGGTTATGGTCAGCAGTTTAAATGGCTGGGTAGTATCTTTCTTAATCTCATTTGGGTTGGGCTAGGGTTTACAAAAAAGGCATGAAGCCTTAAAATTAATAAATAATTCTTGATAGCCT